TTAACCTGAAAATTTGATATTTTCGACCAATAAATGATAAAAATACTGAAAAATATGGTACATATAAAAATACCAAAAAAATGTTGGATTTAAGTTATCTATTATTTGATTAATTGTTGGTCTCAATAAATATTGGAATTTACCATCAATTCAAAAATTAAGAATAATTAGGTCAATATTATAAGAGATTTAAACAAGCTTTCAAAATATTACCTATATGAGCAATGAAAAATTGAATTCAAGAGAGGTTGTAATAAAACAAAGAAACACTAACATAAAAAATTTTAATGTAAACATAGGAATTAATAAACCAATCTCAATTATGCTGAATACTCGACCTGTCACACTAATTTAATAAACTAACCTCAATTATTATACCGAATTCTTGACTTGTCACACCAATCTCTTATAATGCTGCTTGACATTAAATTAATAAAAAAATAAGTGCCACAAAACATAGGAATTAACGTAAACATATTAATTAATAAACTAAAACAGAAGAATTAATAAATTAACTTCAATTATGCTGAAAACTCCAACTTCGACTTCATTGAGTTTGTCATAGAAGAGCATGAGACCATAGAACTTCAAATAAATGACTATGACAAACCAACTTCTAACTCTAACGTGAATGGAAGAAAAAACATGTTCGATAACTTTGGTAGAAAGTTTGATCCCATGTGATATTAGAATCCCTATCTAGTTATATATATGTGTGTGTGTGTGTGTGTGAAGGAATTCAAAATATTTTAGAAGTCTAATAAGCAGGAAAGATAAAAAAAATATATGCATATGTATCACTTAAAAATTATCAATATGTGGTATTAAAATTCTAGTAGAGTTTGTACATATATATATAAACTTTATCTCTATGACAATACATTCTTTATTTTTCATAAAAGAAATAATGCATTGTCATAGAGATAAAGTTTATCGATAAAGTCATAAAGATAAAGTTTATATAACTAATATTTTGATAAAGCTTATCTAGGTAATATTTTGATAAAGCTTATCTAGGTAATATTTTGATAAAGTTTATCTACCAAGTCATAGAGATAAAGTTTGTCTATCTAATATTTTAGAAGTCATGTATGTATAAAAGACAGGAAAATATGTTGGTATAATTGGTTTTATGGTAATAATTAAGGGTAAAATAGGAAATCAAAAATTTTGCACACATGATAACATTTATAAATACTAGCAATGCACACTTGCGTTGCACGTGAAAAAAATTTAATTCATTAATTTGTTATTAAATTTATTTGAAATACAAAGTTGATAAGTAATAAAATTGAATTATTTTTTGTAAAGGTAAGTGAATAATTAAAATACAAAAAAAAAAGACACTTAATTTTTTAACCTCAAAATTTGATAAATTTCAGGCAATAAATGATAAAAAATACTTAAAAACATGATACATATTACATTAACGTTTTGTTTTGGATGTGGTACCTAACTTTAACTATTTTTTTAAATATATTTTTCTTATAGTTTGAATAAAAAAATTTTAGAACATACAATTTTTATTTATAATGTTATAATAAAATATGAGCAATGAAAAGTTAAGTTTAATAAATTTGATTACAGAGTATTAAGATTTGGACAAACTTTTAAAATATTAGCTATATGAGCAATGAAAAATTAGATTCATGAGAGGTTGTAATAAAACAAAGAAACACTAAAATAGAAAATTTTAATGTAAACGTAGGAATTAATAAACTAAAACATAAGAATTAATAAACTAACCTCAATTATTATGTCGAATACTTGATCTGCCACACCAATCTTTTAGAAAGCTGCTTAACATTAAATTTTTTTAAAAAAATTAAGTGCCACGGAACATAGGAATTAATAAACTAACCTCAATTATACCGAATACTCGACCTACCACACCAATTTAATAAACTAAAACATAAGAATTAATAAATTAACTTCAATTATTATGTCGAATACTTGACCTACCATACCAATCTCTTAGAAAACTGTTTGACATTAAATTAAAAAAAATTAAGTATCACAGAACATAGGAATTAACGTAAACATAGGAATTAATAAACTAAAACAGAGGAATTGATAAACTAACATTAATTATGCCGAAAATTTCAACTTCAACTTCATTGAGTTTGTCACAGAAAAGCATGAGACCATAGGACTTCAAATAAATGACTATGACAGGCCAACTTCTAACTCTAAATGTGAATGGAATAAAAAATATATGTATATGTATCACCTAAAAATTATCAATATGTGATATTAGAATTCTAGTAAAGTTTGTACAATTGAATGAAAAAAAAATAATGTATTGTTATAGAGATAAAATTTATATATATGAAGGAATTCAAAATATTTTAGAAATCTAATAAGTAGGAAAGACAAAAAAATATATGTATATGTATTACATAAAAATTACCAATATGTGGTATTAGAATTCTAGTAGAGTTTGTATAATTGAATGGAAAAGAAATAATGTATTGTCATAGAAATAAAGTTATTTATCAAGTCAAAGTAATAAAGTTTATCTAACTATTATTTTGATAAAGTTTATCTAGGTAATATTTTGATACAGTTTATCTACTAAGTCATAGAGATAAAGTTTATATAGTTAATATTTTGGAAGTCAAGTAAGTATGAAATATAGGAAAATATGTGGATGTAATTGACTTTATGATAATAATTAAGGGTGAAATAGAAAATCAAAATTTTTTCACACATGCTGACATTTAGAAGTAGTACTAATATTTTGGAAGTCAAGTAGGTATAAAAGATAGGAAAATATGTGAGTATAATTGACTTTATGATAATAATTAAGGGTGAAATAGGAAATCAAAAGTTTTTCACACATGCTGACATTTATAAGTAGTATAAATATATATTTGGTAAGAAAATATAGGTAATTATAAAAATGGTGATAAAAAATCCATTTAGGTCTATTTAATATTAAAAAGCTCAATTTGAAAAATCATATTCACTTTGAATTCCAAAATATCATGCAATTTTCAATTTGTACAATCAAACATTTAAAATCTTAATTTACATCATCTATGTTATGAATAGATAACAATGTGGACCTGACTCGACCGCCATTAAGTTGAATACTGAAAATTGAATGCTAAATTTTAAGTGTTGAAGGTTGAATTAGGCATTACTAATCGAATAAGCTTCCTGCTCGACACTTGTTATAGAATAAGTAGTAGTTAGCTCCGACATGGGATTGAAGTCACTTAAGGGGTTAGCTCTACAAATATTGAAAGAATACCGACAACTAATTCATCCACATATGTTGGAGCAATGGTGGAAGGGATTGATTCCATATCCGATGAAAGGCCAAGGCAATAAAGAAGAAAGATCAAGCGCAGGGCCTAGACTCTCACCTTGGACATTTTAGTTCGGTGAAGTCAATTTCCAAAACAAGATTCGGAATTCGTAGAAGAAGAAGAAGGCTTGGCTTTCGCTACCTCTGTTACCGCTAGAAGTAAGGTACACCCATTATTAATTCGAGTGCTAAGCTAAAACGACATGTGTTTGGTTGTGGAATGATGTGCGCTATTGAAAGTGTAATTCAGGTGTATTGAATTGAATCAAATTATTTGACAACAAAATAAGGTAAAGTCTGAAAATTACTATTATTTTAATTTTGCATTTTTTTTAACCATATCTCTACTTATCCTACCACCACCATCATAGTGGTGGTAGAGGCATATGATGGTAATGGCAGCAACACAATGGTGATGGTGGCGGTGGCGAGACACAATAGTGGTGGCAGTGATACAATGTTGGTGATAGTGGTGGTAGCGACAACAGCACAGTGGTGGTGGATGATGAGAATTGAAAAGTTAAGAATGTAAGTGGTATGATTTTTAGGTTATCAAACAAATTTAATTCATTAAGTACTTAAAGTATTCAAACAACCCCTAACTCTATCATGTGCATTTCACATAAAATGCCAACAGTCCGTGAATTTATACATAAACTCATACCCAAAATAATTTCAACTCACGTACTCTTATTTATAATGAAAAACTGAACAACAGTCTAGAAGAGGTTCACACATTGCTTCCAATTCCATACTAGTAAGAGTATCTAAAACCATGACTCAAATTTGTACTTAAATTTAAATTTACATTTAAATAAAAAACTTGATTTGATACAAAAGGCTCAAATGGAGAAACTCAAATTTAAAGATGGAGAAACTCAAATTTAAATGAGAAAAAATTTAAATTTAAAATAGAGTAAATATGAACATTAGTTCTTTAAAAGATGGTCAAATCTCACAATTTAAGAGTTCGGTAAAGATTTTAGTTTCTCTTAATTTGAGTAAAAAAAATGAGTCTCTATTAATTTGTTATAAATTTGAGTTAAATGTTAGATCAAATATTTTTAGACTTTTTATTTAAATTTAAATTTGAATAATGGTTGAAGATATCCTAATGGTGAAAATTGAAAATCGAAATATAATCAAACCAAACTAAACTAAGTTCTATGTCCCAGTCATTTGAAGTCAACTATATGAGTATGTCTTTGTCGTTCATTTCATTCATGTTGTCATTCTTTTTAATTATGTACTGTATGTTCATTTAAATTAAATATTTTTATATATATATTTTTATTTCATTCAATATTAATTAGGGTGTATTCCTACTAGGGCTGTTAGTCGAACGAGTCCGAGTTAAGTTTGAACCGAGCTTGAAAAACTTGTTTTTCAATCGAGTTTTAAAAATTGTTCAAGTTCGACTCGTCTAGGAAATGAGCCGAGTCCAAGCCAAGACCGAATACTTGCACATAAATGAGCTGAGGTTATAGGACTTGTTTTTCAAACGAGCCTAAAAACTTGTTTAAGTTTGAGTTTGTTTAGAAAACGAATCAAGCCGAATCCGAGCCGAACTCAAATAAAGTTGAGTATAATTAACAGCCCTAATTTCTACAATTATTAATAGAAATTCTATCATTTTTTTGAATCCTTAAAAATGTAATTTGAGATATTTTTGGGTCGGAGGAAGAGGAGGTTCATTTACTTCAATGGAAATCGAAGAAGAGGGCTTTTACCATTTTGTATCTCTATAAGAAACGGTGACGCAAGAACGCTGGTTGTCTGGGCAGTTAAAGAGAGCCCGTGAAGCGAAGCGAAGCGAGTTCTAAAACACTTGAATGAGCCCCAATCGATCTGGGCAAATTGTACGGTTTTCCGACTGTCCTCTACCGGTGAGTCCTCTCGTATTTTCATTCATATTCTCCATTACACATATGCATGTGTGTATGGTTAACCCTAACTACATGCATCTAATTTTAGTTTGAAGTTGCCTTTGTAGTCTATAATTATGAATATTTGGCACCCAATATACCGGAGAGCTACCAATTCCACCGTAATTTCAATTCAGGATTCTTAGGCGTTTGTATGTTTGCGTGTAAGTGTGTATGTGTTTGTACTCAATTTTTGCATCAACCGAACATTTGTGGTCTTGAAATTGATACCCATTTTGGAATGTTGGCACCTGATATGGCGGAGAGGGAACGTGAGTTATAATTCAGGATTCTTAAGCGTGGTATGTGTGTATAGTTACATGTGCGTGGTATGTGTTTGTAGTCAATTTTTTCAGCAACTAAACAGAGCGAGCAGGTCTGCTGCAAATCAATACAGGGCATGTAGGCATAAATGAACATGAATTTTATAAGAAAACATAGCCCTCAATAGAGCTTAATGGCAAAACTGGATTCATGTAGCCAACCCCATATATGTTGGGAAAAGAGTTTGTTGAGTTGTGGCACAAATGGTTAAACACGAACAATGCAGTGATAAGGCTACTAATGAGCTCCGATGTGTTGGTTCATTTTCAGTTGTTGATGTTCTTGTCCTGTATGTTCAACCGATCATAGGCTAATTCAACAAGTTAGAGTTGAAGATTTTTTCCAATTTGGCAATTTGGCTTTGTTAACCGGAGCTGTTGGAAGAGGTGGACTGGGTACAGTCTAACCTTCAGGCATTATACTCACGAAATCGTTGTTTTCAGATTTGACCCAATAACCTTTCTGCTGCTAGCCTGAGTATTTTATCACTGCAGAAAACAATGACCACTATCGCACAAGTTAGAGTTGATTAATTTGGGGGCAACAATGTTAGGTCCCAGGCCTAATTTTGAATCAGCAAAGTGTTACTTTTCATTTAAATACGTTTAGTTCTTATTTTGTGCATCATTTCAGGCGCTGAGATGATTCATTTGTCTTTCTATTTGCTGGTTTCTTTCAAAACTAATGATTTGTTTTTACTAGTCTGAGAATTAAACAGGGTAACCACCTAAACAAAGTATAAATTTTGTTCCGACGAGGAATGAACCCTGTTTATTGAATGCATGATTTTGGTTTTCCAGGTTCTTAAAATTGAGGCAGACAAGGTGTTTTATTGATCTAGAATGCTGAGTGTTTGTATCCACAATTTGTTCATTCTGTTTCATATTGGCAGTCTCATTTGCAGTGGCCTACCATTCAGTCATGGGAATTTGTAAGTTTGCTTGAAAGCTTTTGCAATGGATATCAGTAGGAAACCTTAATTAACAGCAAAACATTTTGTTTAAATGGTGTGTGTATTTGCATTACATGAAAATCTTATGCTATTTCACAGGATTGAAAGCAAAGTTTTGACTGTTGGAGAGGAGCTGTGGAAGGAAACGCTGCCATTACAAATGGGCTCCCAACTTTACCAACTGCAAGGGCTTAAATCACATACGTGGTACGAAGTGAAGATCTCATATCCAGCTTCTGTACGTGCATTGTATCTTCCTCCTGTTGCCTGCTCAAAATTTATTAGTCAAAGCTTACCTCATAGTTTTATTTATCAGTTAACTCATTAGATTGAATGACAGATACCCTCTAGCTTTTCTATACAATTGAAGAGAGGCAATTCAGAACTGGGGCTGAACCGGCAACGGAAATTACTCAACACTGAAAAGTTAATTTTCAAGAGTGATGACCTGGACTTGTTTACTAACCAGGTTTTCTTATCCTCATCCTATAAGAATATTTTTTTGCCTTTGAGAAGCTTTAAATGAACAGTTTTGTTTAGGGTGGAATGTATGTCCTGGTGACTGTGGAGCCTGAGGGGATTGTTGCAATACCACACGGACAAGAGAGGGAATATGTCATTTATAATATAGGTAATTCTGGTATTCTTTTCTAGCTAATAGCAAATTGATTACGGATTTCATAACTTATGGCCACTAGTTATGTTTATTCTTTCATTTGAAATGTTGCATTAGTTGTTTCATACAGACTTTACAGTTTTTTCAGGCACTGTTTTTTCCTTCTTTTTCACAGGACTTTACGCTTCTTTTGGTCAATCACTTTTCTCTTTGTTTGTTAAGGGGTTTGGAAATAGTTTAGCAATTGACACGCCTCAGTTATGAATTCTCAGTCGTTGCTCCAATCTCAATGATTATTGATGACCACTTAGTCATTAAAGAATAAGTGTTAGACAAATGTAAACAGAAAGGAAATTGTTATCTTTAACATGGAAGCTCTTTAATTGTGTTGGTCATTAGAAAGAAATTTAAATGGAGCTTAAGCATCTTCGTCGCATGGCTGCTGGATTAAAAGAAAGAGAAGATAAGGGGAAAAAATAATTTACTTCTGCATTTCATTTGTTACTTACTATTTTTGTCAAAACTAACAGTTTTAGGGATATAATGATGGGAATCAGATTGTCTTCGTTTTTGTAGGCATATAGGTAGACCTAAGGATTTTATTGAGCTTTTGATTATTTCGATGGATTAATTTGTCATTTGGTTAATTTATTTATGGGATGCTGTCCTAGGATTGTTTTTAAGTTTTAGTAGATACCTGTTAGGCATAGTAGGTTTAGATTAGGACTCTGTAATTTAGTGTGTTGTTGTTATTAAATAAACTGGATGGATATACAGATTTTTGCAAGCTATACTTTGATTTGATTCCTTCCCAATCTTTTTTCTTTCTTCTTATGCTCTTCTTCCTCTCTTCGCATCTCGTTTTCATCTTTTTAATTCCCCTCTCTCTTTTTTTAATCATTCTTCTCCAAATATTCTCATATCTTTCTCCAAATTCTTCTTCCAGTCTGCATCATATAATTTATATAGATCTTTGATAGTTTACAAAATAGAGGTCTGCTCAATGTTCAAAATTTTTTATTTTTGGATGAAACAACCGAAACTTTTTGGTTTCCGTGAAAACTGGAATCAATCAGTGATGAAAATAAAAATTCCTATGTTTTAGTATCAAAATTTCAAATTGTGTCTTTGTTTCCAAGATGTTTCCTAGTTGACTGAAAGACCGTTACAAAAAATTGATCCTTGGGTCTGGTTGCCTAAGACCAATTGGGAATATTTATATTTGTCTTATGTTTTTTCAGTGTATTTGTTAATGGGTGCATGAAAGGCTTCACAATCTTAGCGGTTTTAGAACTTTATGCACTCTTGATATGTATAGTACTTCAAGTTCTGCACCTGAGATGTATTAATATGGGCAATGGTTGCAGAGTTCACTTCTGAATTATGATAAATAACCCTGAGATGTATTAATATGGGCAGTGGTTGCTGATTTCTCTTCTGAATTCTGATAAATAAACCTCCATCCATTTTGGGTAAGCATTATGTGTCACCTTTTACTTCAACTATCTAGGACTTCTTTATTTGCATGGTGGACTGATTTGATTATAGTAATATTAGAAATTCAGTAACAAGAATAGGTATAGAGAAGTAACTGGGCTTTTGAGAAAAGTCATTGTGCGAAGAACATAAATTAGTATTACTTTACGTAGAACCAATGGGTATGAAGGACTCGAAAACCAACTCCAAGTCCTTAGGGTCTGAAGCTGTGTTGAGTTTAGATGAAATTATTTCGGTGAAACAGTGTTACTGTGGTTAAATTTCTGGTGTACATCATGATTCCTGATACCTTCTCACATAAAATGATTTAGAAGTTTGTTATTCTTACTTTAATCCCAAAACATAATTAAAAAGCAAATCCCTTGGATGTAATTTTGCACTACTTTAAGACAGGTTACTGTTACTAGTCTCATATTGTTATTGATAATACAAGATCAGTTATGGTTGTTTCTTCCCATTTGTGATATTATCATATTAGTCTTTTGATGTTATGCTCTTCTCTTCTCCGATTGCAAAATTATTGGAGGATTCTCCAGTTATCTTTAAATGGGTAAGGATATGCCACATGCACTAATTCAGTCTTTTTTGGTTTTTTTAAAATTGAAAGTACCAATTCAAATTTAAGATTTGTGGATAAGGACACATTCTTGCCATTTAAAAGAAATGGGTGGATTCTCCAATTATTTTGCAACTGGAGAGGAGCCAAACCCAGTCTTTTGTATGGCATATATATCCATAAAAATTATAGATTTCACAAAGTAATTATTTTGACTTGAATCATCGTACAGTAGACATGAATTATCTATTGTCCGTCTTAATTTGGCGCCTTAGTTAATTCTCTTTGTATTTATCCATTTTCATGGCAGTTTGTGACAAACTATTATTAGGCATCCCCCACAAAGCCTGGTGGGTTGTAATTTTGGTATTGCTTTGCTTGGGACTGGCATTTGTGATCCCATCATTTCTTCCATCCTATTTGCTACCAAGAAATCAAAGCTCACAATCAGCTGATGAGATTATTTCCAAGGACTCTTAACTTCATCTTGTCTTTGCCACAAAGTACATAGCATTTTGCTCTGAAGATTGGTGTTGACCAGAGGATATGGTAATCGAGATTGGGGCTAGAGGATTTTCTAACAGTTCGAAGTCTTAGTTTGGAAGGGCATGAGGCATGACCTGTCCCTGTTGGTTATTTTGAGGAAAAAGATTACAAATAAACATCAATGCTTGACCATGTACTTATTAAAGGCGATTTTTGCGTCATCTGGAACTTGTGATTGTAAATTTCCTTCTCCCGTATATCTTGAGTTTATGTTTGCCTTTCGTATCTTTCACTTGTGAGAAGTTATCATAATCCGGTTTTATCATTGTCTATCATTACGACCCAAAAAAAAAAAAAAATGTTGAAGAAATATTATATGACCTGACCCGACCCGTTCTTAATAGAGAATGAGTCTAGTGGAAAAATAGGAAGACACACTGATAATGCACGTTTCTTTGTTAGTTTTTGAGTAAATTATTTATATGATTCTCAAACTATGATTATTGTGTCAATTAAGTCTTTAAATTTTTATTTTTTTTTTCAACTGGTCAATGGTGCCCTTCTATGTGCCTTCGTTAGAGTTTGTCAGTAACATAACTATATGACACAAAAAAGACAAAAGGATCCAATTGACATAATTATAGAGTTTAAGGGGTTCAATTGACCAAAAAACAAAAAGGGTGCAAGGGCTTATATGACACATTGGTCATAGTTTGAGGGACATTTGTGTTGTTTACTCCGACCATCACTTCTCGTTAAAAAGATTCAATTGACACAATTAGAGATTTTTGAGGTTCAATTGACATTAAAAAAAAAAGTTTAGATGTTTAATTGGCACACAAAGGTAATAATTTGAGAGTTATACGTGCAGTTTACTTATAAAAAAAAAAAAAAAAAAAGAGGAAACCAGCACGATGCATGAGCGTCAACTGCATATGTCCAGCTTCTTTTCCATTACCATCTATTTCCTTGATAGCTTTCGTTTTGTCTTTGAGAATGCGACCAGAGGTGTTAAATGTTATCTCAATTTCTATATGCTCGATGTGCGAGTCAACAAAAAGAGTAAATATTTAATATAACGATAAAATTATTTATTACCGTTATTTCATATCACCGTCTAATAAGAAATAATCAAACGGACAAATTTAGTTTTACTACTTACGTAAAGTAGTTATTACATTACATGAGAGTTATTATTGAATGTAATCGGATCTTCTTATCACTGGATGGTGACTCTGCAAAATGCCCTTGAGTCGCATTGCATTGAATTGCGATCGGATTAAGATGTTTTTTAGTATTTATTTACATAAATTTATTTAATGGTAGATCACTCACTATGTATTTTCGTGAGATTCATTATGTATACGTAGACTCTTTACTCATACACGAAAGAAAGATGAATTACCATTAAATAAAATTGTGTTAAAAAGGTAACGAAGAGGATCATAATCCGAGTTGGATTACCTGCGTCTGTTTCGAACAAAGGGATATATCATTATGTTTAGAGGTCATTATAATACTAGCTATTAACACGGTGTTTTATTTGACAAAACCTGCACAATTCCTTTTTCCAAAACGATATAATTTACATGAGAATATATTATTTAAATTTAAGGGTTAATTGCACCGAAAGTCTTTAAAGTATGAAGTTTGTTGTATTTTAGTTCTTAATATTTTAATTACATCATTTTAGTCTCTGAAATATTGAATATGTTATATTTTTATGCGGCCTCTCAAACAAACAGACAACATCTAGATTGCTAAAGATTTTTTATTATAAATTTTGGCCAAGAGTTACTCAAATTGTTTTTTTTTCCTATATTTAAGTATCACGTGATGAGCTCGTTTGGTAGACATATTATGAAGGGATTAAATATTGGATTACACTATTTTTTATTTAATCAGGCCTAATACTTTGTTTGGTAAGCAATTTTGAGTTTGTATTAATTTCAAAAACGTATATTAATAGTATATTTTTTATATAAGACACCTGTATTATAAAATGTATTTTAATACCACCAGAAAGAAATGATATTATAATCTACCTCAATGAATTATTTTACAAAAATTACTATTATAACCCCCATATTTAATAAAATCAAGTTGTCTTCAACGTAAAATATACTTTGTCAAACGCACGCTTCTCACTCCCATCGTTCTTCGCCGGCTACTATCAACAGGAGGTCTTCGTCTCTGCAAGGTCGACAAAACCATAAGACTAAGGTAAGAGATGCATCACTTTTCAAGTTTGAATCGATAATAGGACCGATTAAATGATAATCTATTTGGATTTATTGAGTATCAGATTTTTTTTTGCATTTTGGTCATGAACCAGCAACTGCTTTGCTGGAAAAGGAGTATTCAAAGAGGCAGCAAGCGAATTGGCTTCCCTGTACACGTGCACCAGACTGAAATTCAGTCTCCCCAGAATTTCCTTAATCTGCCTCAACACTCCCCAATATTTCCATGCTCTCCAACGTTTTCAGCTTGTATTGACCCATGTTGAACCCTCATTATCTTATGGTTTTCTGTGTGATGCATGTTCGTTGTTCATTCCTCTTTGTCGGGCATGTCAACCTAATGAGGCTGGATGATTTTCCTTTTTCTGCTCTCATTTTGGTAGTTGTGCATAAGGATCAATTGGCTGTGAAGATGTATGATGAATGGAGGATAAATAGAGGAATTGGACCAGTGACGGGCGTATAGTGAATTGTGAACTTGTTTATGTTTTTTGGCTATTTAGGGAAACCAATAATGAAAATATTGTTATCCTTGGTTTTACGTAGGTAGTTTCTGTTTGAACATTGTTAATAAATCAATTGAGTTTGTTAATTTCTATTGTTATTCATAGATGTTCTTTATCTGAATTCGTTAATTTTTAGTAGTGATTTCCTAATACTTTTTTTTTTGACAATGGGGACATGGCTAAACATGCTGACAAAAGAGCTAGGGTTTATGGGGTACTGGAGCAAATTGAGAGGCTAAATTTCTTTGACAGAATAAGAACTGGATAGATGATTGTGAATGATCAAAAAAGAGTCGACTACTTCTTCAGCTTGCTCGATATTGCGAGGCTATATTAGTTGCAAATGCTTCTTGATGGTAAACTTTAAAGTGAGAAAATTCTCACTTCGATGGCGAATTCATGCAATTTTCTAGTTTGTAGTAATAAATAAGTTGACTTAACGTAGACTTTAATGTGACTTTTAATTTTATTTTAGTTTTTATCTGTAATTTTGAGTTGTTATGTGAATTTATAATGATTCACATAAATGCATTGATTTGAATAAAGTTTTATTTTTTTGATTGATGGTATTTTTTTTTGATATTATTGTCAATTAATTATTACTGTTATTAACTCAATGGAATTTTTTTAACTTAATGAAATTTTTTTTGTAAGTATAAAATGAATAAACTTGATCTTTTTGGTAATGAGGTTAAATCTCGATCATTTTCCTTATTAATGATGATGGCATTTGGAGGGGATCATGATATCATTCATGTTATTGGCAGTGTTAAACATTATGATTAATTAAGGGTATTTTTGTTAATTTAACATTAAAACGATGTAATAATTTTCTAACCAAACAATTAATTAAACTAAACAACTACTATTCAACACTTATATTGTATATGCCAAACACTAGATAAAATTACGTATTATTCTAATACCCCATTTAATCTTGTATTTTATCCATATGTATTGTATTAGCCTGTATTACTTTATTTAATCCGTCCATTTCTAATACGACAACCAAACAAGCCCGGTAAATTTTATGATAAAAAATTATTAACAATTTCAATGTTTATTTGCTTGAAATATTACATAAAAATATATATAATATTTTAAAGGTCAGAATGATACAATTAAAATATTGGAGACCAAAATAAAATAAACTCCATACTTTAGAGACCTCCAATACAGCTAACCCTAAATTTTATTAACTCACTTAATTCATTACTATCATTGATTGGTAAAGCGGTCTCAAAAATTACTGGAACTCGTTGTCAGTTCAACAACAGTGAATAATTAAGTCATCAAGTTAAAAACTAAAATTCTTTCTCTTATGTTTTTACTCAATCATGGGTCATCGAACATAAATTTAAGTCAGCAAATGAAATCCCAATAATATTTACTGTTGCGTACTTATAATAGTATAGTTACTAATAGACCTTTAGTTCAATGATACTTCTTATTTTATGAAGATTTTGCTTTTTTGAGGTCAAGAGTTCAAGTCCCCTTCCCTCCCATCCCAAAAAATAAAAAATAATAAGTATGATGGGCCCACTAAAATACGTGCTCACCAGATTCTCTCTACTACGCTCCTCTACTGGATTTACTTGACAACGAGTTCAAAGAAAGTTTTGAAAAGCGAGTAAGGCGGGATGGGACCACGTGGCTGTCCGTCCAAAATATGACCGTTATGAGAAGACAGAGAGATGTTTATTAAAACCACCATTTTCCTCCGCTTATCGGTCTCTGTTCGCCGTCCTCTTCTCCTCTCATCTTTCTCTCTAAAACCCTTTCTCTTTGGCTCATGGCGATCGCAACGGAGACCCAGTCAGAACAGAAGGTGCGCTCGGGGGGGGGGGGGGGAGAAAGCAAAGAAATTTGCCGTATTCTGTTTCTTTCCGAATTTTGGGGGGTTCATGAGTGAAGTTTTGAATCTAGGGTTTTTTGTGGTCTGAAATTAATGTTATAGTATTTAATATTCTGATAGTAATCTTGGTTTCAATTCCTTATCAAAAGTGGCTCGATCCGTGCAATTCTTTCTAATTCTTTTTAAACATAGGGTTTCGATTTTGGTGCTCTGTTTGGTTGCTTAGAAAATGCTGGAAAAGAAAGTACAATTTTTGATTTCGTTTAGAAGGAGAAAACTATATGCTAGAGGGATTAGTGGGGTTTCATATGTTGTCTCAATTTTTTTGTCCCTTCCCTTCGGATTTGGAGTTTTCAGGTGTAGATTCTTGTGCCGACTACAGCATTATACCTAAATGCACACTGAACTTTTAAGAATAGGAGTTTTTGATAGGAATCTTTTGTTTTTTTAAGACCTAGTGGGCTTGAACCTTGTGTAATTATTTCTTCGGAGTTCCATTTTTCTGGAAACTTTTACTTTTTTGAGAAAAAAAAATATAATTCTTATGTTAAGATAAATACTTTTCCCTGAAGCACAGTAAACATACATGATAGAACTTTCCCAAGCTTCCTACATGATTTTGTCATGGAGAGAAGTTTGATATTATTTAGGAGTTTTGCTTGTTCCTGAAATTTATTACCATTATTTACTTTCTGAGTAGTGAACCACGGAAATAACTTAAATTTTAAACATCTTTCTGTTAAAATTTGATTTATAATGGCTGTGGTTGAAACCATAGGTTCTAATTTATAATGTTGGTTGGATCCTATTTCATGCTAGTTATTTTGTTGCAAAGCTTCTGGCTCTACTTATGGTTTCATTAGGTGTGCACGCAGGCATCTTCGGAGGTTACCACAGTGGAGAACAAAAGGTGGACTCTAAATGACTTCGACATTGGAAAGCCGCTTGGAAGGGGAAAGTTTGGTCACGTTTATTTGGCAAGGGAAAAGAGGGTTTGTGATTTTGGCTTTAAAAGTATCATGTTCTAGATCCTAGTTTTTGTGCTATGGCATTTTATTTTTCCAGAATTTAGCCTTAGTAATTTTAGGATCCATCAAACACGTGAATTTCAATCAAGTTCTACCACCTGTGCTGAGTTTTGGTTCCTAGGTTTCAAAGTAAAGCAGTGGGCTCAATTTACAGTGAAATGCATGTATTTTTGCACTTATTTTATGGACCATGAAATGCTTGTGTTCCCATACCATTTTTGCTACATTCTATCTGATTTTTTTTTAGCTTCAATGCCTGAAATTTACCACCTTTTAGGTGGCAATCATGACTATGAGATTTCAAATACCTTTCCTCTTGTAAGCCAAATAAAATAGTTAAGATTGTAGTTTTGTGATTGTAAATGTAGATAGAAATTTTGTATTGTGGAGGAATTTTAATACAAGTTCGAATTGTAATGTACTTTTTGCCACCGCATCATTCTGGAATGCTTTAATCATATGGCCAGTTCAATTCATATGTTTTCTTTCATGAAACAGAGCAATCATATTGTGGCTTTGAAGGTTCTATTCAAGACTCAGCTGAAACAGTCTCAGGTTGAGCATCAGCTTCGCCGTGAAGTTGAGATACAGAGCCATCTTCGACATCCTAATATTCTAAGGCTTTATGGGTACTTCTATGATCAGGTAGAGTTGGTTCATTTTAGTCTGAATGAAGTAGGAAAATTTGCAATTATCTGCTCAATAGATTTACTTTTGTAACATAATTATTGCAGAAACGGGTTTACCTGATTTTGGAGTATGCTGCCAAAGGAGAACTGTACAAGGAGTTACAGAAATGCCAGTATTTCAGTGAACGACGTGCTGCTACTGTGAGTTTTTATCCCGCTGTAGCTTTAATTCCTATTTATTTGTTCTCTCCATTTGTCATTGCCATTAGCTTTAAGAAGTGTGACTAATAAAAAGCCTTGTTTGAGGTTCTTGTTTTCATCTCTCATTGTAATCAACTTGTTCATATTTCATGCCATTTATGACATTCTGAATTTCACGATGCTTTGTATGTTTCTGCTTTGCATGACGTAATTAGCAATTTTAATCACTATATATATTGAAACTGATAAGAAGTTCTTTTGTGTGCATATGAAACTTCAATTAGTATGTGGCACAATTAGCTCGGGCCCTCATATATTGCCATGGGAAGCACGTAATACATAGAGATATCAAACCAGAGAACCTTTTAGTTGGTGCCCAGGTAATTATTAGCTTGTTATTATTTAGCTCTGTGTTCTTTTACATTCATGAACCTTATCGTATCAGCTTGGGTTCTCTCTCAGGGTGAACTTAAAATTGCAGATTTTGGTTGGTCAGTGCACACTTTCAGCCGCAGGCGGACCATGTGTGGCACTCTTGATTATCTCCCACCTGAGATGGGTATGTGCAGGTCACTAGCAATTTAACATTTTAAAACTTTTCCTTTTTATAAGAAGGGAATCACAATATTGAAAATTTTGATTTGGCGGGTCACCATTACTTGACTTAGAAAGGCGCTCAAAAGTTGATACTTGGGGTAAAGATCCATTTTGGGTTGTATAATGAAACTGGTAACCAGTACTGTTCATTAGCAGTTAAACATTTTAGAACTTTTCTTTCCTATAAGAAGGGAATCACAATATGGAAAATTTTGGTTGTCTTCGGTGAAATTTGGCTCAAAAGTTGATACTTGGGATAAAGATACATTTTGGGTTGTATAATGAAACTGATAACCAGTTTCCTCCTTATTTCCTCCTTATTTGTGTGTACTTTTTAGGTGGATATTTTCTCATAAGCAGCGTTGCGATGTTTGTTTTACAGTGGAGAGTGTAGAGCATGATGCAAATGTGGACATCTGGAGCCTCGGTGTCCTGTGCTATGAGTTTCTGTATGGCGTCCCTCCTTTTGAAGCTAAGGAACACTCGGACACATATAGAAGGTGAATGAGTTGCAAAATGGATATAAATTATTAAGGCTTGTTATTCCTCTCTGTCTCCCTCTCAGTTTCATGTGAGGAGTGAGTGGATGCATCTCTCAGTGAGACATTATTGATGGAATAACTTATTCATAGGATGTTTTGTAGTTCAGATTCTAATTGTTTATGAAATCATAGTATCTGCACCTTTACTCACATTACTGTTTTGTCTTGCTTGTCTAATTTTTGGGCAGGATTGTTCAAGTGGACTTAAAGTTTCCTCCCAAGCCTATTGTCTCATCAGCTGCAAAGGACCTCGTCAGTCAGGTTAGTTTTCTTCTCTGCAATCACATGATTGATCTCGGATTTTTATCGGTTGTGAGCTTGACATCTTTTTGGTCACTTCTTTTCTTGTTTTTGCAAACAGATGCTTGTCAAGGATTCTTCACAACGCCTGCCACTACACAAAGTACTTGAGCATCCATGGATCATTCAGAATGCAGATCCCTCTGGCGTCTATAAGTGATTAAAATTTGCAATGTTGTTATTGTTACACTAGAGTGAAAGGAACCTGTGATTTCAAATACCCTTATTCGGTCTGTTAAATAGATGGGCTGTATGAACATTTCACTTGCTAGCATGAAGAAGTGCATATGATTTGTTCAAGATGACCCCCACCCCTCTTGTGGCTAAATCTTACTCATCTTTCCATTGTACTTGCATTGAATTTGCTTTTGTACCAAAAAGAAGTAATTATCTAGCTATATCAAGTTCAAAGTTACTAACTAATGTGATATGAATTCATGGATAGAACTAGTTCCTGAAAATCAGTTTGCAAGGGAAGGGTGCTCAAAAATTTATGTATACAAATCTAATCTTATTTTTAATCGACATGAGATTTTAACATAATGAGGAGATCCCACAAATTTGGGAACAGGTTTTAGAATTTTTTTAGATCAATCTTAGATCAACTCCACGGATTTATAGAAGGGAAAACTTGTTCAACAAGCAATCTTGATTTATTAAAATGTGCCAACTGACCTTCAAGAATCAAAAGTTTTAAGAGGGATGGATTTCAATTATATAGGAATACTTTTCAGAATCAACTAATTCTCGAGAAAATATTCAATGTAACGGTAATATCATATTGATATTGTATCACCAACTAATAATAAAACTCAAAATAAACAATATGAACCCTATTTTCAATTATTTGATTGGTGATACCACATGAGACATGCTGACGTAATATCATCAAAATAAACAAGCACTCGTCGACTCCCCGCACCATGCTACATTAACAGGATAAACTTTGTTCCGCGTATGATCAGTTAATATTATAAGTGCTAACTTGTGAAACTGAAGCATATCCAGACTCCAAACACACAGCTTTCCATATCGTATTGCCATCACCAGCATAAAAGAATTTTGATCCTAAAGATTACATCCTGAAAAACTTGTCTGATAAGACATACTCATAATATAATACCAGTACACAAAACCATCAGATATTAACTGCAGCTGAGGCATCCTAACAAACCGCTAACCTTGAAACTTGTTCCTACACGACCCGATGAATTCGATTACAGTTTATTCTAGTACATATCAGTCGCAGATTCAAAGGTGACATTGAGATCAACTGCAGTGGCTACTGATGAAAACAGGAAGTACTCAAATGCTCTATTTCATGTCATGCTGGTAATGTCTTTTAGTTACCTGGCTTGTCTTCTTTACAACTCTCCCCATCCAGCTGTTGGGTTGGAGTCTCTTCCGCTTTTTTGAATTCAATTAAATCTTTAGAATCCAGGAAACTTGGCTGATTGGTTGAAGAAAGGAGCCTTGCCCACATCCTATCAGTAATCACAACTTTGTTCTGTCGCTCAATAATGCGCTGCACAAAAAAAAAAAAAAGGTTGCTGATTGCTACTACAATCCCATCAAAAGCCATACAATTTCTTTTTGTATTTTGGGATGGGTTTGTTTTGGGGGGGAGGAGGGGGGTTATTCTCTGCAATCATCTCATATGCGGTTAATAGTAGCCTCAGACAAACCGAGGAAAATCAAGAGAATAGCGTAAAAGGGAAATCGCTTTTTAGGTTGCAGTCACTAGCAACTTCCAGCAAGAACCATTTGAACTCAATTTCAATGGCAAAGTCTTTCCACTGTGAAGAAGTATGTTAGCCATCGGCCAATAGTATTGGCCATAATAACAGCTAATTGGAAGACAAAAAGGCATCCTATTCACCTGGCTACCCAAGCAGAGCATAAAGTTCTACATCCTACCCAGAACCCAATGAATAAGAAGAAACAACAAATGGAGAGCGCTCTTACTTAAAAAGATAAGAATCACTGGACAGTAGTCATATTATTGCTTCAGTCAGCTAAGAACACACCATGCAAAGTTTCCCACTTCAACAATAAAATTATCCACTGCCGACTACCAAGGAAAAAATTGCAATTTATACAGTTCACCGCCCAAGCAGCACAACATTAGCTTTCAATCATCGGAAAGGGGAAATTGCATTTTTCACCCCGAAAGATTAGGAATTCACACTTTGCACCCTCAAAATTAGATTTCCCACATTGCACCCTCAAATGTATAACATTTTTTTGCAATGTGGCACTGTTGTTAGCTTCCGTTGCTTATTCCCTAAAAAATCACCCCATTGACGTTGACGGAATGAGCAACGGAAGCTAACAACGGGATCAAATTACAAAACTTTTGATACATTGAGAGTATAATGTGAAAAATCTAATTTTTGAATGTGAAAAATCTAATTTTTGAAGGTGCAAAGTGCAATTCACCCAATCTAAAATCACAAACGCCTTGTATAAAAATGCCTTTATAAAGCACTTGGCAACTCAACATCATTGGACTGGCAGAAACTCAAATTGGGTAGATTGCTAGCAAACAATATTACCCTGAGATGATAACTAAGTCCCAATTTAATTTACAAAGATGGACAGATGCAAACTGTGTAATAACATACTATCAACAGAATGCTATTTACAATATATATACTTTTGGGACTTCGAAGGAACTTACATTGAAAGGAATATACGTCTGTCTGCCATTGACAAGCCCGCTTGTATAGCCTGTGTATCCTGCCATTGCTCCATGAACAGCACTTTGAGCAAGGAGGGTGCAGTACACGTTGTCAGATGCATTGCTTGGAATGGCACGGATCATGTATGTGGGATCTGCCCAATAAATTGGTTAGGTACTAGTATACTGCATAAATTCATATGGCAAGTCAAGACATAAATGGTTATTGCCCAGTTTAGTTTGGTGTGCAACCAGAGATGTATATCGGGTACAGAATAAATCTTTGGCAATATTTGCGCAAAGTGTCTGTCCTCGTATACAAACCCACAGCCTTGCGGTTGTTAGTCCGATCATTTTACCACTCACTAGGCAATGACCCTTGTCAAATCAAAGACATAACGCCAAAAAATGAAATACGAGGTTACTGACCTATATATTTAAGAGTAATAGACATCTTACATTGCCTTGCAAAATGATCCTAAGACAAATAGACAAAACAAATTAGTGACAGAGCGATTCTATTACAGTATACGGATTTCAAAATCATGCTTAAGCATTTCAATGGTGGAACCCAAGTATCAGGTCACCCTTTCAGATATCATCTGGGTTTTGATGTGTAAGCCAATAAAATAATGTAAGATGCTTTATTAACAAATTGTTACAGGATCCGAACACCCAAACATCAGTCACACTGAGCTAGTAATTGGGTTGCTTCCTATGCAAAGACACTGCTCCATTGCTATAGATACATATATTAAAAGGCCACTTATTCCATGTCATAGAAAATAAGGGATCTTTTTTTCCCTGTTCTCTTTCCTGGTCGAACATAAGGGGACCACAATAGCTTCGAATCCTTATCAATACAAAGGTAATCAATTTAAAATCCAAAGAGAAGAAAAAAATAGAATTTTGAAGAGAAGCAAACACATCAAGGTACTAGTGTAAATGCATAAGACAAGTACTTAATCAGAAGCAAAAATGGACCAGGGGAACAGAAAGACAATAAAATTGACACCTCCATCTAGGACATTAAATTTTATGACATCATTGCTGTTAGTGCATTAATAGAATCCCAAAGCTTAAAAAGTTTCACACATAGCACGTTAATATACTAACATCAATATGGATAATAAGAGAATGTAATCAGAAGCCAAGAATTGAAGAGGTAATTATCAATTTAAAATCCAAAGAGAAGCAAAAATAGAATTTTGAAGAGAAGCAAACACATCAATGTACATAGGTATATATGGATAGTATGTAATCAGAAGCCAAAATAGACAAAGGTGACAGAAAGGTCATAAATTGACTACTCCATCTAAGACATTAAATTTTTTAAATTATTATTGCTGTCAGTGCATTAATGGAAACCCAAAGCTTAAAAAGTTTCACACAGAGCATGATAATCAACTAACATCAACATGGATAATAAAAGGACATAATCAGAAGCCAAGAAATGAAGATGCGAACAGCTATTTGAGATGGTCATAAGATGTCAAGGTTAGGAAATGTATCTTAGATCATGACCATTACCCTGATCCTCTGAGAAATCCACAACCCAACATCTTGGAGTTGCTTGTTTCCCGAAGCATCTTGCTCATTTGTGGCCTGCAAACTCTCTGAAAGAAGCTCCTGTCCTGCTCCTTCAGCTATCACAATGACCATGTGCCCACTTTCTTTAAGCCGTTTCTCTATGAATTCAAGTAGTCCACCATTTCCTTCAAGATAGAAAGGTGACTCTGGAATCAAACAACAGTCCACATCTCGGTTGGCTAGAGTAGCATACATTGCAATGAATCCTGCACCAGCAATTTTAAGACACTTAAAGAAACCAATGAATAATATAGAGCAATTTATTAGGAAACCGTTTGAAGAACTTTATTATAAATGTTCTGCACGAAGAACAATCATGCATTTCAAGCTCTATAAAGTTTCCTTAACATCACTCCTCCAGTAGAAATATAGGAGAGTATTAGTACTTCATTTGCTTTCTTTTAAGTAATGACTTCTGAGCAAATTTTTTTTATGGGCATAAGGAAATTATTTCACCAACAATTTCTTCAGCTTCTTTGCAGATCTGAGCTCATTTCCAAGAAAGATGCACAAACAAGAAATACAGAGATGTCTAAAATAGCTATGGGCATAGAATTGCTACTGAAAACTAAAGCTTTGACAGCAGTTTATAACTTGGTTATTAACTGAATAATATATCCAGCATATGGAGGTGAAACCTACCGCAGTAGCGACCCATTAGCTTCACTACACCTACACCATTCTCTGCACTTTCAGCTTCAACATGAGCGGCATTTATGGCACGTTGAGCTTCCTCTACAGCAGTATCAAAACCAAATGACCTGTCGATAACCTGCACAAGCCAGCTTTATTTAAGAAAAATAACAGCAAAAACTCAAGGGTATAAAGGACTTCCAATTACATAAATCAAATTATTTTCAATAAAAAACAGAAAACTTATATTAGTAAAAATCAATTTTTTTGTGCTACCATAGAACCTCTTAAGTTTCAGTTGGCCGCCAATTGCAACTCCAAGTCTCGAAATTGCCCTACCTCTGATCTGGAAGCTTTTCTCTTGAAATTCAACAATCAGTCAATGGAATGACACCCTTTTCACATCTACCGGCCATGATTTTTGCTTCAAAAAGATTTTGCAAAACCAGAGTGTTGTGATCAACCTTCACTAATGCACCACAACAATCACCATCTTCCCTAATACTTTTGCATTCCATAGATGGAAGGGCAAATCTTCAATCCCAATCAATCCACCCAAGAACACAATTCTATTCCTTTCAAAATTTGACTCGGGAATCCACTTGGATAATCCGATTAACCCAGCACTTTCCTCTGAAATACATCACCACTAAAAATAGCCAGAGCATGCCCTTGTTTCCACAAAAGAAAACCTTGAAATGGAATCAAACTTAATTTTAAATTTTAGTTTGTTCAGCAAAGCTCCCCGAATCCACCTCCAGGGAGTGAAGATGTTTTTCCTCTCGTAAATCACTGTATTTTTCCATCTAACGACGACAAAGTAAGTCTCACCTACATCATTTTGTGTCACAATTTCATTTTTCGTATCATCATGAGCAACTCCCCTATTCTAGAGATACTAGCACTCCTCAACATGCCATCTACCACATTCAAAAAACTCCTCCATACTTTAAAATCAATCATTTGAGGAACTATGAAATCTCTCTTCCTAGAAGAGTGAAACTTAAAAACAGTAAGGAACTTTCCATTCCTATTGAAATTCACTTCACCCCATAATTGGTATGAGTGCATCTGAATTTTCTGAACAATGTCACAAAACCGCTACACCTACTTGTGGCCTCGACCACATTGCATAACCATGAAGTGCACCACTCAATCCTACAATGATAGAAAAGCTAGCATAAAGAAATCCTTCTATAATTTTAATTACATCCCGACAAGATTCTTTATTGACCTCCACTAAGAAGATTTGATTTATTATCACCTCATTCTTGAGAATTTTTATTTTTATTTTTGGGAAAGTGGCTTCGAGGTTTCCATTAGAGTCTAATTCCTTGTGGCATTCTATTATCAAAAGTAAGTATTGAATCTATGCTAATGGATGAGACTCTAATGTGGTGAATAGAGGATCGTTTTGTAATCCTTGGAAGTTTATTTCTCAAGATCTGGATGATTTTGGAGAGCATATTTCTTTGAAAAGGGGGAGTGGGAAAAGAGTACGTTTTTGGGAGGATATTTGGGTTGGCGAGTCATCTTTTACTTTGTTGTTTCCTCTGCTCTAGAGATTGTCGGGTGCTCATAATACTCCCTTGGCAAGGGTTTCTAGTGTTTTTACGGATTCTTTTGGTTGGTGAAACTTAAATTTTTTCGTAACCTAAATGATTGGGATATCTTGGAGTGTTCTTCCTTGCTTTCTTTGCTTGAATCAGTTTCCTTGGATTTGCCAATTTGTGATAGAAAATTTTGGTCTCTTGATTCTCCATAATCTTTTCTTGTTGTTCCTATTTTCAATGGTTGATTGATATTCCAAATGATCCTATATTTGATCGTCATTCGATGATTTTGAAGGCAAAAGTGTCGGTTAAGGTGCAAGTACTTCCTTAGTTAGTTGCTCATGGTAAGGTGAATACTTGGTAAGCATTATTGTGAAAGTGTTGATCTTCTGTTTCTACATTGTACCATTGCTATTTATTTATGGTTCAAGCTTTGAGGGATGCAAATTTGGTGTGGGTAATACCTTGCAAATGTGCTTCCCTATTTACGATGATGTCAAAGGGTTTTGGACGTGGTAAGAGAGCATCCATTTTATGGAGATGTGCTAATTTGGCTATTTTTAGGGTGATATGGTTGGAACGTAATCGAAAAATTTTGAAAATAAGGAGGAAAACGAATGTTTATGGAAAAGAGAGAAGTTTTTGGCTTTTTTTTGGACAAAGGTTACTAAGGATTTTTGTTATATTTTCTTTGTTTTTTGTTTTTTTGGGAGGATTTCTTATTCACCATTTTTTGTATTTTTAAATATGCATCTTTCATTATTCCAAAAAATACACCTCTATTGCCCAAATAAAAACAAACACCAGTGTGGTATAACCACAACAAAATTATGTTATGAAATCTTTCCATCAGTTGACCGCAAGCCTTAATCAAATGAAAGCAATATAATACGCTCTCCGTTCCTAAATATCTGTCGTTTACATAATTTTTTTTGTTCTATAATATCTGTTATTTAATGAAATCAAAGCATAATTAATATTTTTTCTTCCAAATTTACCCTTAACTTTTCAATGCATTAGATTAGGTGGAGGCTAAGTGTCTTTCTTATTTTTTACTCATATTAGAGCTATTTAATAGCTTCCTTAATCCCTGTGTTAAAAACTTAAACGTCAGATATTTAGGAATAGAGGGAGTATGAAAATAGCGGTTACGCTTGCTTTTGGGCACATACAAAATAGAGAAAAAGAACTACACGTGTCTGATTTCCGGCCATTCATTTGCAAGTTATAAAACATGAGAGATGCTCCAAGTCATAATTTTTTTTTTTTTTTTTTTGGGGGTGTTGTTTCTCCTCAACTTGAGGATTAATGCATGGCAATATGCAGATTTCAGACCCCTAAATAGTAGGGATGAAGTTGTTCAGTGGAGTTGACTTGTCCTTGCACAGGTGGAAAGTAGATAAATTCCATTCCACATATCTTTTGTTTTTTTTTTTAAACTTTTTTTTGGGGGGAGGGGACTTGAACCCTTAACCTCAAGAAGACAGAACTTTCATAAGGTAAGGAGTACCATTCCACATATCTAGAGAATAAGAAATTACCGGAATGTCATTATCAATCGTTTTGGGGATCCCAACAACTGCAACTTTAAGACCACGCCGCCTAACTTCCTGCAGGATGAAAGTTAGATATCTCTGAGAATAGCTCAAACAGATGAATAAAATCAGATCAACTGCTCTATGCAATCCAGTATACTGATGACAGTACATCTGAGCACAAATTAGAACTCAAAAGTATATCTTATCATGCATAAAGCATCATAGGTGAGTATCCCCATCCAAGAATTGTTATAAATGCTTTTGCACCCCAAAATATTGACCCTGGGAAAATAATGGGAGTTCAAGAAAAGTTGCATAGTAATAGCAGGTAGTAGGATAAGAGTACGAATCGGTTGGGGCCAGATCACCAAAATAGCAAAAACAAAGAAGGAAATATTAAAGCAAACTGACTAAAAATGGAAAAGAAAAATACTCCTCACAATAATTGTTGATCCTGAATAGTGGTCATGTTGAGCAGAGGTGAACTAGGACCACTGACGTAAAAACAGAGGCTTAGATCCAATCTATGGTTTTTGAAGAGTGAACAAAACAATGGGTAACTTTCTTAAACAGATGGTGTGCAGGACAAGAAACCAAAGCAATCACTTCTATGAATTTTAGCTGACTGACAAAAAAATCTACATTTCTTAGGACGATATTCTAAGAAACCAATTCGATCGTGCCTTTAATAGGAAACATGATGAAAATGGATACTGGGGGGCATCATAAAAGTTATTTTTAGGTGGATCATTTATTTCAGAAAAGAAACTTGCCTCATAAATCACTGCTGCTCCTTTCTGAGTTCCATCCCCTCCAATTATGTAAACCTAAATATTGACAATAAGAAGTCAATACAGGTCTGTTACAAGACAAGGCAGTAAAAAAATTAAAAAGAAGTCTCTAAATAATGCAGAAATTATTCTAAAATTACTAGAAAAAGATCAGATCACACTTCAGATACCTGATTAATTCCCCGGTCCTGAATGCAGTCAACTATCTTTGAGGTATCATGGCCTCCTCGAGATGTTCCAAGGATTGTACCGCCACGTTTATGAATGTCATTTACAACCTTCGGAGTTAATGGTATAGTATTTTTGGAATAGAAACCCCTATACCCTCCCTTCACAGAAGAGATATCTTAACGTCATTAGCTTGAAATGCAGGAAGTTGTGGAGTAGGGCTTTAAAACTTATGTAACCAAATCAGTATAATCTGAAAAATGTCAAAAATCTATCAGCAGATCAAGATTGTAATACTAGATCAATCAGGCTACCCTTCAAAACGTGTACTTTCCATGACACTATGTGACCAGCTGCAAAGATCCACTACACGATGCTATGAGGGGTAGATTATGTATGCACCAAACCTCCTCCAGAACTACTTAACTTGCAGGAAAAGCTGCCCTACCTCACACCTTCTCACCCCTTGACAGTAAAGTTTTTCCATTACGACAAAGCAATGGCTCATGTTTACAGCATAATTTGATGTTCCAGAATACTAGAAAATTGTATACCCCTGGTTCATTCAAAAAGCAGACCATGATGAATAATGCATGTATTGTGGGTCCAACTCATTTATCATTTCCCCCATTTTAAATTCTATTTGAAGAATAATTGATGTTTACAAATCTCAATGTGGCATCTCCTTATGCCATAATTTCCGGAGCTTATTATATCAATCAGAAGCCTATCAACACCAGTGTTATCAAATCGTGTATCGGAAGGCGTATCGTTTTTTAAAAATAGTGTATCGTATCGTGTATCGTAAGATACGGTGCAATTTTAAATAAATAATAAAAAAATATATATACCTATGAAAAAAAATCATACACTCATAAAAATATAACATTTCATTCATACTTCACCACCTATTCAAATCATCAACATAGTTCACTAATATTATAATGCAAAGTTTACAACCATAGTTCACTAATTCAAACTTTAAACCCCAAAGAGACTTTTAATCCAAATTTCTAACATCCATTTTGAATTCAATTCATAAAATTAATCAAGATTCAAAAATTTTTATACGGAAAAAAATAATTAGTGTCTTATTTAGACAAAACGACGTTGTTTCAGAAAAAAAAAAAAAAAAAAAAACTGGTTTTGCGCATATCGTGTATCGGACGATACGATGCAAAAACGATACATAACTACGATCCGTATCGTTTTACCTCCGTATCGCGTATCGTACGATACTAACAACTATGATCAACACATAAACCTTGACACCAACAAAAGCATTGAAGTATAGGACTTGCAAGATGAAGAAATATGTATCTCAATTACCATTGTCCACATATTGCATAGATTTAAAAAAAAAATGAAGGGTAAAGTCCACTTTTCTCCCCTGTAGTTTAATCCAGTTGCGCTGCTGATGTAGAGTGGGAAAAGAAATGGAGATGGGAAGAGAAGAAACAGAGATGGGAAGAGAAGAAAAAAATTTGGAAGGAAAGAGATTTTCAATTATTCAATAATCCATGTCTGATTACCATCTGTACATCCATATCATGTTATAATAAGGACCAGATCATCACTCCAAGAGTCCAGATGTGACTCCATTCAACAATCAAATAAAAAGTTGAAAAATAAAATAAACTCTAAAACAACTTCCCAAGATAAATGACCAAAGTCCCATCAAAATCTACGTTTACGCCTAATAGAATTCCCATCAACTGCACTCCACTCTAGTTCAAAATAAGCACATATCTCTCATATGGTTTTGGAGGTAGTGAGCTACAGTAATAATTTTCATCTAACTTAATTGGATGTGTGAGCCATGTGCCTTTTTGGACAATTGCCATGTTGAAAAGCATTTCCACTCCACATAGTGCAGTGAGAATGACAAAAATGCGCATACTCTTTGACTTAAGCAAATGGCAACTTATGACAAGGAAAGAAGAGGGAAGGAAGAAAAGAAAAAAGTTTATAGGATAATAAGAGAAGTCAAAAAGGAAAACAAGGAAGAATCGGGCATTTTCAAAGTAAGATTGCCAAGAAAATGATTAACTGGTAACCTACCACATCTTTAGAAGATTTATAGAAATTTAGGCTCGAATGATTGGCAATCCAAAAGTAACAAGTGACAACCCAGGAACGATTACTTAGTAGTAATTTGATAACCATGTAAACTCTAGAAGATGCATTACCGGGCATTTGGGGCTAAACGCTAAACCTATTTCATTTGGCAGATATAACATCATATAATTGCCAAGTTGAGTATTCCAGCTCCTGGTATTGTAACAAGTAACTAAAGGCTATGAGATCTTCATCATGTTAGAAATGCAGCATTCTAAGTTAGCCCACAAGCCTACCCAGATAACTTACCCATGTGGGCTTTCTCCATCCAAAATCAGCTTCATATAAACCAACCAGCAAACATGTGGACATCGATCCAATCATGCTTGTACGGTTCTTCATTCATCCCTTTAAAGAAACTTTGTCCAGAAAAATCATCCCCATGCAGCGTTATTATGTGAATTCCAGCATAAAGCCTTATGAATCCCACCAAGTGATGGGGCTTCATTTCACTTTCACCTCGTGTCAATGGGGCAGTGGTCAGCATATAAACTTTCTGCAATAAGTTTTGGGCAATGGCAAAATTGTTCCCCTCCCCTCAAAAAAAAAAAAAGGAAGAAATCATAGATCGGAAGATTTTCCTCCAACCTCCCTCCCTCTCAAGTTGTGTAGCTATGTGATGTGAAACTAGTAAGACTGAAGACTACTGCGGTTAAACTTTTTCTTTCCTGACATGATCACGGTTAAACTTACACATGAGGTTATTAAGGACATTATGTCCTAATCATCGACAGAGTTGGTTGGTCACATTGGCCCAATGCCACATTAGGGTCTTATGGCTATTTTTGAACTAACAGGGATAAACCACAAGGGTAAAGCGAAATTCGTTCTAAAACAATTTGCAAACCAAAACAAAACAAGGTCATTAACTTAGTCCCCATTGATTTTTCTTAGAGAATTCAGTCCAAATTCAATTTACTATGGGTAGAGCGCTCCCTCAAGTAATTATATAAATTAATGGCCGAAACAAGTTCGAGTTAAACTGAAACAGGCAGACAAAAAAACTGAGAAATTCAAATAGGGGAAGACTTGGTCCACCAACCACCCAAGGCCCATTTTGATACTATATTAGGGCATGCAATCCAAAATTAATTGGTTATGAGTGGAATGGCCCCTTGGGTATATAAAGCAACATTGGGTGTACTTAATTTTTTGATATGGGATAAAAGCTCTCTTCACAATTTTGGTGCACTACAACTGCACAAAGCAATGTTACTTGGATCGTAGGTCACTTTGGTACGTGAAACGGGTACGAGTACGCAGTACGATGAGGGTAGACTTAGCTGGTACGGTATTTTGGGTCACAATTCATTTTATATCTCTTATCTAGATCGTTTTTACTACTATACAAAATTATATATCATAAAACATCCATAAACACTAAGTCAGTTACCATTTATCTTATATTTGTGCTTACTTTTATTATCTAAAATAATATATAATTATAAATTTATATACACGTAGTTAATTAATATGTATTTTATATTTGTGCTACGTATACAATTCGGGATCGTACATTTTGGCGATCTGGATCACGAACCCACCCAATTTAGGATTGATATACCCAGATCATGGGTCGTCAGAGATTTAGTAAATTCTGGTAACTCTGGTACAAAGTAGCCAATCCCTAATTCAAATCCACGGTCTCATGGTAGTTAGCCTGAGGATTTTAGGAATATACCTTTTTCAGATCAAGACTAGATGGTTATCTTAATCCATACTCCCATAATTATAGTTAAACTGCTGTGTCTAACTTCCCTCTCTCCTGCAGAAGGACATCCTATTTGATTTTCTAGAATAGCAAGCCTTAGCTATATTTTTGGAACAACTTATCAGCTGCATGAAGTGCGTGGGTCTAGTCTAGTGCCCAGAAATTTACATCACAACATTAGACCATAAAAATTCCACCAGTGCCTACTTTTCTGCCACCAATTTCAAGGATAACATAAACAAAAATCATCTTAATGGTATCATTATTTATGAAAGTGCCAGAAAATTTTATCCTCGAAAAAAAATTCATTATCTTGAATCTTAATGGTACAAGTTAGCTTAGAATCTGTCTTGAAGTTTAGCAGTAGGGTAGGGCATCATCTGGCCACTCAAACTTAAAAGCTGTAATTGATCTGTTCAATATGTATCCTAAAATCATTGCCTTATACGTATTTAATGTATGAAATCCACTTTTTTGTAAATAATTAATTTAATGCGGGTCAAAAATCCTTGTCTTGGGATTAGAAAAAACAAGTGTATAAATGTTATTTTCTTGCATTAGAAAATTAGCATAAATCACGCATTTGAAACTATATGCAGTCATGGAAGCTACATAAGTCTGTTATATACTTGCATACATATGTTACATGTATATATTTGGTAAGGACAAATTGCAGTTAAAATTCTCCAGTTAAAATTAATATAGATTCACGTGCAAAGTCTCATCATACAAAAGAGGGAGGAGGGAGAAACGCAATTAAATCTTTGTCTTTGGTCAACGCATGCAAAGATAATTGAAGTCTTGCCGAAGATAATAATTGTCAAATATAAAACTTAATGAATCCACTAACTCACATCTATTCCAAGGACTTTGTTGACGCCATACATGTGATAGAGACTGCATACAAGCTCCCTGATCACTGTATTTATCCCAGGGCACAAACCACCACATGTTACAATACAAGCATGCACCTCATCTGAGTTAAAATAAACCTGAGACACTGAAGAGCATCGTTAGAAAACCCATATACAGCAGATTATTCACACCAGTAATACTCTTATGGAACAAGAACACATACCTTTTGCCGGGGTCCAGCACGTCGAAAATGTATCCCTCTTGGACCATTCTTGTGAACAACAACCTGTAAAGAGGTAAGCAAACGAAAATGGAGTTATTTCCCTTTTTAGAAAAATGATGAAAGTACCTTTAATGCACGTAAAAGAAGCTTCTAACATTTGATTAGTTTTTAATTCCTCGATTAAATGAAAAATCAAGCTTTGCATGCAACAATGTGCTGTAAACTGAACCGATATAATTTCAGTCTATCATCAGATTGCCAGCCTAATGAGATCACACATTACCAGCACAACCAAACAAGCATTCATTGTCAGAAAGACGATTTCTTGTGCAGCCAAAGGGTATCAATAAGAGTTCAGATATCAACAAGAAAAGCCATCATTTACACCATACACAACTAGAGATCTGAGTTTTTGTGCAAGATGAACCCCACAGCCACGTGTAGTTCCAAACTTAATTAGCCAAGTTGCTCTCATTTTCTTACCTATACTGCAATGTTTTTCCGCTTAAACTGTATGCTTTTGGACAGTGAAGCCCACGGCAGCCTTGTTGGAATTTATGCATAAATACAGACTTGCATGAGAGATGTATCAAGTAGTTCCAAAACAATTTTCTGTGATTACTTTTTTTCTTGCACCTTAAATCAATTATGTCCATTTATTTTTAGATCTCCAAATTACCATCCAAAATATTAAATCCTGTTTATTTTTAGAGCTATATTATATTTTTCGGTAATCATATCAGGAATCCTAGTTGTGTGTAGTTCAGAAACTTAAATTAAAGTTTCCAAGTCTCGCTATAAATAATCAATCTCAGTCATAAATTTTGAAAAAAAATATCCTAACTATCGATTTTGTTTATCTTCCTTTCTTGTAGCTATAATTAGCATGTACAATTTTTCTTTTTACATACCTTAATACGGACTATGCTGCAAATTTGACAAGTATGAGATGATATTGAATTCACTTCCACATATACTTCGGATTTTTATAGAGATCTTACCAATATGATCATAGATTTTCACATGCAATGCACCAGTGAATTGCTAGTACCCATAGGCAGTTTTCTAAGTATATGATTTGCATTTTCTTTGATGGTGGAACACACCATAGGTTCCTCAGAGTTTGTACATACATTTACCCATACTTATATCTAGACATACATGCACATCTACATGTGAGGATGTGAGTTTTTGTGTGTGTGTGTGTGTGACGGAGAGAGAAGAGAGGGAAAGATTAAAACAAATACAAAAGTAAATGAGAACCGTATGACTTAAGAAGCAGTTGAACATACCTTTTGGGGTACAGTATCATTCACATGAACAAAATATTGCCTGAGATCAAGCGGACACATCACAAGCAATGGCAGTTAAGCAAAGAGAACAAATATCACAACCAAAAAAAGGAAAAACAAAGTGAAAAGTTGACTCACTTCACAACTGAATACGCAGGATTGAACCTCAACGGATTTGGGTAAGTCTGCCACGCAGTTAACCGCCCAAAAAATAAATAATCAAATTCAACAGATTAAAAAAAAAAAAAAAGCAATCCAAATATAGAAGCTCATATTCCAAAAAAGTGCTGCTATATTTTAACGTGATTCTACACACGATTTAGTTATCGTCCATATCCATCTAGTGTATAATACAACAATAAAAAGCTAAAACATTAAGGCAGCGTTATTGTTTCGAACAAATATATCTGCTTACTTTTGCCCACGAAGTCTTGTCTTGGGTTATAGCGAGTACAAACTAGAAAGGTAGTAAAGCAGGGTGGTGGTTGTTAGTGTAAAGCCCCAAGCCTCTTCTTGGTTTTATAGTGAACCACACATGTACCCCTCTAACCAAGAAAGGCTTCAAGATTTACACTGCAATGCACCAAAAGTATTTTGTGGAGAAGCCGTATAAGCTATAGAGCACGGACTCTCCACTTTGGCCGCCATGGCAATATCCAAAAAAGTACCGAATACAGATACAAGCCGGATAAGGCCCAAAAGTGGTCGCACATATCAATAAATTATTAATATTTTCAGATTTTGGTATTTCTGGGACACTTAATAGTTTTAAAAATTATCAAACCTTATTTTTGCAATATGTCCTCCCACAACCTGAGACTTTTCATTGTTCAATCACAAGCAGTAATATTACCATTTGCAAATATGATCAGAGTACATCCAGGTCCAATAATCACGGACTCACCTTCGTTAATTCAGAAAACAATGGCTTCTTTTCTAATTCAAAATAAAGAAATTACGAAAAAACTTATTGCGACAATCAAGTACAATAATAGATTTAAGATCTCTATTGATAATGTAAAAACTTCAACATGTAAATCTAGATCTCCAGCTTCTAATAAGATAGCCGAATAGAGAGATGAATTGCATGAAACAAAATTATAGCCGACATTCGGATTAGAATAAGCGTCAAAACCCATTTTGGGGAGTGTTTTGTGTGTGTTAGAGAGAGGGCATTTTATAAATCATCTTGATCTTTCTAGGTCGTCTTTTGTTAAAAAAAAATCACAAATCAACTTCAACTCAACATGGAATACTTTCATTTGATCATCAAAAAAGAAAAATAATAAAAAAAAATATCTAAATTAAGTTCAGTAACGATACATCGACCAAGTTCATCTTCTGTTGATCATGCCAATTGTTAAATGTGATACAGATACACACCACATGAGCTATACATGTGATACACAAACTCTTATACGCACACAGACGTACAACTATAAGTATGCACATGCACGAGAAATAAGAGAGAGAAAGAGGAGATGAAGAACATACAGTGAGATCGGGAATGTAATCGGTCAAGTGAGGAACATCTTCGAGCACATAACCAGCATCCCCTGTCTCCACTTTCATCTGAAAATTACTCTCCATTCCCATCTCTCTCTCTCTAATCGACGATACAGTAGTACAAACTGCTGGTTTTCAATGGAGAATCAAATGGCTAAACGTGAAACAGCGTTTGGTGTGGGAGATAAGAAATATATACAGAACTGAAGGTGAATATATAGATTTGTGATCAATGAATGAAGATCCGCTAGGCTTTTTGTGAACCGCCGAGTTTTGGGGCTAATTGTATTGAAAACAGGTGGCGCCACTGTGCTCCCCTCCTCCTCTCTCTCTCTCTCCACGGTCGAAAACCGGTTTTGGTTTTGGCTTTGGATTCTGATTGGATTTTCTACTGTGACTACTTATTACTTTTCAAGTCACTTAACTGTTGTGCTGGGGCCATATCCCTATTTTCTTACGGTTAAAATAGCTGAACTTTTTGAATTGGGGAAATTTTACTTTGCACCTTAAAAGATTGAATATTTTTATTTTGTACCCTCGATGATTACATTTTGTATATTATACCCTTAATTATTAAAAATATTGTAATATAGTCATTCTTTTTATTGCTTATTCAAGCAAAATTAACCTATCGACATTGAAAAATGAATAACATAAACTAATGGAATGGAGTATATTGTAATACTTTGAATATATTGAGAATATAATAAAAAATTTTAATTTTTAAAAGTATAAAATAAAAAATTATAAATGTTTAAGAACACAGGGTTTGTGTTTTAATTTTTTTTTTATTAATGGTCTTAATGTTATAATTTGTACAATAAAGAAAATCATGTTCATGTTCACGTTCATATGGAATCAACCCACTACCCCCACCGTTAAACCTTAAAATCGTAAGTTTAAAAAAAAAAAAGATTGTAAATTCGAATGTCATCGACCCTCTTTGATAATTTGTTATTTTAATATCTTTCACAATGTACGTAACCAATAAAAATAATAGAATTTCTCTTATTATAATGATATATATTTTTATTTCTCGTATAGAGAACACAATATAATACGAAAGCCATACAAAAATTGATAATTTAAATATAACTTTAACACATTTTTGTCAAAATCCGGACAAAACTAATAGTACCAAAACTTAAATATTAATTATAATTGATTACAAAATTATAAAATCATAAAAATGTACACTCATCTTGTTATAAACATAAAACAAAAATAAATATTAAAAATTACTTTTTGATTACACACCGCTATTAACAGGGTCTTGTCATGTTGGGATTGTATTATAATTTACTCAATTTATTTTTTAAATATTTTTTATTCATGTACAATCTGAATCATGTCTTATATAACTCATATTATATATAAATTATATTTAATGAGTTTTTATTATATTTAATTGAATTAATTAATTTTTTACTCATTATTCGAATCTGTTAAAACTCTACATGAACTCGAATTATTAATTTTGTATTGAGTTTGTAAAACGTCTTGGTCTAACTGCGTCCAGCTAATGGGTGCCCGTAGTTGGGACACAGTCACACAGGTCCTAGAACAAACCAACGTAGTTATGGGGCTGACATGACAGACAATCGAGTAGTGTTTCCGCAATGCTCCAGTGGATTCTGTTTTGCAATATGCGTCCGTGAGGCTCACGTGGGATCCATGGTCAACGACAGACAGTTCAGCATTCACAACAACTAATTTTAATTTCCGAAAAATTAGCTTAATTTCGACGCTGGCAGCCTCTAGAAATCAGATGACGGCTGGTCTTTCAACTCTGAAAGCGTTCTTCCTTTTCAATTTCCTGGCATTTATCTAATGTATTTTTCTGATAAAATCTATATCTACGTAGTTATATTTTTTTGTATTTAATTTTTCGCGACTCAAATTACTCAAAGATTATTGATCCGACAATCTTAATACGAAATTTTCTCTCCTAATTTTTTGAACAAGATTTTCATTCCACAATTTTAAAACTCATATCTCTTTTATAACTTTTTCTATCTCATATTACATATTAATTTGGTCGGTAATTATGATTTTATATAATTAAGAATTATTTTTAAAATTTTTAAATAAATAAATGGACCTAAAATACAGATTTTTTGCGTCAAAATGAGTCGATTGACTATAATATATTTTATATTTTGTATTGAAATAAAAATGATATAATATTTGATTGGTATAATAAACGAAGAATATATATATATATATAATTTGTGATATATCTATATATTAAGGGGGCTAACATTGTTTGTTTTGAATTTTTCGCGGTTTAAATTATTTTAAGATTATTGATCTAACGATCAAAACTACTCCAGATTTTTTTTCCACTAAAAATTACAAAAATCCTTTCATTTTACGCAATTATCGGTTCGAAATAATTATGATTAGGATTCAAATTTATCTGAATTTGATTATCGAGTATAAAGTATATATTTTTACTTAAACTTAACTTTGTTCAAATTTTACGAGTTTATTTTAAATTTGAAGTTAAATTGAAATTGATTATAAAAATAATAAAAAAATAATTAAATTTTAAAAAAATTATGGCGTCACTGTGAACGAGAATGTATAAAAATTAGTTTGTAAGTTTAAGATAAAAATGTTAATTGAGTTGAACTTAAATTCAATTATCGGTTTGACGTAATTATGATTAAGATTCAAATTTAGTTGAATTTGACTATCAAGTATAAAATATAAATTGTTACTTAAACTTAAATTCAATTAAATTTTACAAATATTAAAACTGAACTGAAATAAAAATTGATTTTAATTTCTTAACAATTTTTTTTTATATTTACGAGAATTTGCATAAAACTTTTAATTGTTTTCTTCATAAAAATTACACAAACTCACATTGAAAAAATAGTACAGAGATAATGTTATAAACTTTAGATAGAAACCTGCAGAAAAATAAATAGTTATAATTTTTTAAAATTTGAGATAAACTTTATTAAAAATGTTAAAATAGTGAATGTTTGATCAATAAAAATTATATTTTTCAAATTATTGGATTAATATGTTGCAATAGGTGTAACGTGACTTTCGATATATAAAAGTTTAATTGTATATGTTATGTATACAAGTTGAACAATATCAATTTGATCGTCGTATTGTTGAAATTGTATTATATATTGTCTTTATTTATGAATAAATATTTATAATTTTTTACGAGTAACATAGTACCTTCAGTCACAAATAATTACTAGTAAATAAATAAACTCTAACCACCTACATAATATTTTTTTAGCAATCAGTCAAATAAAAAGTTTGAGAGGGATCCCTACCCACCTTAAACGTGGCTAATTCTAAGCAAGACCAAACAAATAAAACACTGTGCACGCGTTTGGAAAGACTTGCATTTAGAGGTATAATAGTAAATTAACTCAAACACACTCAAAAGGTTGCACTCTCTTAATTTAAGGGGGGTATCAGTGGAATTTACCCTTTTTTATGTCGCTCAAGATTAAATGTGAAGAAGAAATAGATATGATAATGTATTTTAGTTTTTCAAGATTAAATGGAAAAATCAATAGATATGATGATCATGTAGCAACCTGATTTATTTATAAATTTCTAACCCAAAAATGCTACAAAACTCATAAATAAAACCCAAAAATTCAAATTCAAATACATATCATTTATTTGATAATTTTTTGAGTTTTATTTGAATATTATAATACTTATTATCTTGTTGAGGAAAAAGTTAAGTAACTCTTATTTTATTCAAAAAAAAAAACGGGAGCCTTGTGCATTGATTATTGGCACTTAGATGATCAAAACTCTACCACAATACCAAGCGAATTAAATGTAGGTATGTCGTTTTTGTGTAGCGTATATTTAAAATTTGTTCAGTTTCTACTCGACCCTAATAGTGTAAAAAGTAGTTTGAGATATTTCAAGTTTGTAATGTGTAAAAAAGATGTATTTTGTATCCTTAACCTCTTAATCCATCGTCTCAAACCCACCTTCCCTTTAGGTTTGATGAAATCCATGATCATAGGTTTAATATTAAAACTGACTATAGGCAGAATTTGAGAACCAAAGATTGAATTTTCAAGGGTTTTTTAGGCGTGAGTACAATTTTTTAGACTTATTTAGGCAAAAATGTATGGATAAGTTGTTTTTTATATTAAGTACAATTTTTATAAAATTTTTTGTGTTTAGGTATAAAATTCAAATGAATTAAAATCTTTTTTTACTAAAGCACCCTTCTTTAATTTATGCAGTCATCATTGACAGTTATTTTAGGAAACAAATATGTAAATATTACATATTTGTTATCTTTAATTTTTGAATTTTGAATGAGCAGTTTTGTGAGAAATTTATGGATCTATTGACAGTTATTTTAGGAAACAAATATGTAATCTTTACATATTTGTTATCTTTATTTTTTTGAATCAAACGTATGTGTTCAAATGATAAGTTTTCTTCAACGTGTTCAACTGATAAGACTTCTTCAAAATAAGTCTTCTTCAATAGTCGATTTACTTCTCCGGTGGTGGATTTATTCGAAAAAAAGAATTATAAATACCAATCATCGTCATCAGATTAAAGGTAAGTTATTAATAATTATATTTCTTCTTTTATTTTGTCATTTTTTTGGGGAAATTCCTATGTTCGATTTTGTATTATGTTTGTTCGTTGGTGGAATGAATGGAACAAAAATTGTTTTGGTTTTAATGGGTGTAATTATTTTTTTCGTACAAACATAATAAATATATTTCTTCTTTTATTTGGTCACTAATTTGGGAAATTCCTTTGTTCGCTTTTGTTTTATATTTGCTCGATGTTTGTATTCTTTGGTGGTGGTTTCCCTTCCTTTAGAGCTATCAATGCATTTTGAGCCATGTAAGAAATCTAAAGTGGAGAGTTGGGTCAAGGGTTCATTTTTGTTGTCACTGTCATCAATCAAAAAGCATTATCCAAAGAAAAATCAATATCTCTACATTTCAAGATTCGTGGTTTCTATTTTAAATACCCTTTGTTTAACAATTGGTTGCTTCGCAACTAGTTATATATTACTGGCTTATTTGCATTACTCAGAAATGACCACTCTCGTGTTGATTTAGGAG